CATAATTAAGCATGAATAAAACAAACTATTTAGTATATTAAACATGGCTCTGATACCAATAACAGTGCTCAACACAGGGGTAGACTAAGCACGTCAATCAACGACTTATGCTACCAAAAGGTCCTTACCGCTAACCGCTTGACGGACACCGGAGCTACGCGACTTGAATGACGTCCCACTCAGCCTTACACTATGCTACCTCTCAATGGCACAAACCCAGGAATAACATATAAAATAGTCTTATTTTATTTATGATTAATTACATCATATATGGTCCATGAATCTAAAGTCCTGGAGGAGGAGGCCGATTGGCCCTTGCCAAAAGGCAAATTTGTTCGTTAATTAAATTCTGGACTTGATTTATTTTATTAATACACTCTTCTAATTGCTCTTGAGCCCAATTATCATTACGAGTTACTGCAATATAATATTCAATATTAGTTTTTCTATTTTTCCAAATATCTAATATATCATTCAAAATAACCAGTTGATATACAGACATATATTAAGAGAAAGAAATACTTACAATCAAAACGACAGACTTTATTACTATTATGCTTCAAGCTTTATACACTGAAAAGAGAAAGAGGGAGAGAGGGGGATATTAAACTTAGAAAATAAAATTTCGTGGTGCCTTCTTGTAGACGCGCCCGCGGAGGGGGACCTCGCTGCTACAGTTCGGACTCCCGATTTTTGTTGTCGCGGTTCTAAGTCTGAACCAAAGAGTCCAAATCTGGCAAATCGTTTTGAGAAACAGATTTTTGAAAAAGTAGTGCCAAACATGGACTGCTTTGCCAGATACAGAGTCGCCACTTACCCTTGTAGTCCTCTTCAACAATGGTGCTCGAATGGCCTCCTTGAGCTTGAATCCAAGACCAAAACTTCAAAACACACTCTTTAGAACCTCAGCTCCAAGAGGAAGGTGAAACACTAGGTGTTTGTGTGCAATAGTGAGACACAACATCACAATCATACAAAATGAGAGGAAAAGAGAGATAGGTGAGTGTATCTAACCCTAACCCTAGAAAACCAGAGCTCTCCTATGTATTTTCTCTCTCAAAAATGTCTAAAAGCCTCTCCTCCTTTGCCTTAGAGAGAGCCTCCCTCTATATCCCTCTTGTAAAGCTTACAAGACAAGCCTTGCAAGAGGGAGATCCCTCCATGTGTATGGAGGGGAGCAAAAGCTATACAGCTGTCTAAAAATATCTGCAAAAGCAGATGAACAGCAATCGGCCGGCAAAAAATGCCATCTTGGCCAAACAAAGTGCCGACCGGCACAAAATAGTGCTGACCGGCAACAAAGAGTGCCGGCCGGCAAACTATATTGCCGGTGGCAGCAAAAACCAGCCGGTGGCATCTAGCCACTGCCGGTGATGGGTGGGGATGGTCTACAAGCCCCACCCTGCCCTTCCAAGGCAGGATACAAGTGTTTGGTGCAAAACCAGACACTAAACGGTCGAGTTCGGAGATCCTGAGGCAAGGCACGCGAGCCGAGACCTCCGGGAACTCCAAACGAACACAAACATGGATAATCACCGGGTGTTCAAACGGTGACGTCCAAGTCTTGAGGACGGTCAAAAATGGGGTGTCTACACTTCTACAGACCAGAGGCTACCAATTTATATTACAAAAGAAAAAGATAACGAAGACAGGTGGCGCGTGCTGGATGGTTGTGCAGTCGATCATCCTTATCTTCTTATCTTCAGATGTCGGTAAAGAGGGACAGCTGGAAAGGTGGCAAATAATGGGAATCTACTTTTACCAAAAGTTTGGTGCGTCTGTATTATCAGTACCGAAAGTTGTTTGGCATGTTGTAGAGCTGGAAAGTTGGTGGCAGACAAAAGCGGTCAGCTGAGCTAAATCATGTTGCTTTACTCTTACCTTTGCTTTTGTCATGAAGTAACTTGTCGGGAATCATTTTTGTGACCGAGTCCCAAATATCTCCACAATTCGGTTCGGTCGGGTCATCTTCTGGATCCTGGGATTCACCCGCAAGAACTGTAAAAACATTTTCTTCCTCATACAGATCTGCTGTAGTCCTATCGTCTTCACTCTGGGTATTGGATGTGGATTTCATGCTGGAGTCTTTGCTAGCAATGGATTGAATAAATTGCTGTTTCATATAATCCATGCTTTTGATGACAAGCTCAGTTTCTGATAAGTCTGGAAATTTTTCCCTGAGCTCTTGCTGGATTTGGATGAAGGGGTTGACAGGAGGAGCTGGGATGGACTTAGGAGAGGCATCCCAACAAGCTTGGGTATATTCTTTGATCTTCTGGAGTAATTCCTCCTTAGGTTTTGGATTATCCATTTTAACCCACCATTTATACAGGAAAACACGTTTTAATCTGGGAATTTTATTCTAGAAATCACACTTGAAATCCCATTTCCATATCCATGAAATTCCAAAGCGAATGGTGAAATGAATAAGACATTTTGACATAGAAAAAGCAAAACTTATCCACACTTTCCATCTAAACAAAACAAAAAAGAGTTGGTAATTAAGTGCTATTTGGTAACATTTATATTTATTAATTTTTTATTTACAAAAATATTATATATTTATATTTATTTTCACTACATATAAAAATAGCACAAAGCTTGTGCACTTTTACCTCTTTTGACGGGAAATCAGTCAATTAAAAAACAAAAAAACAGAAAAAAAAACAAAAAAAAAAAAAAAAAAAAAAAAAAAAAAAAAAAAAAAAAAAAAAAAAACAAACAAAAACAGAAAAAGTTGTTGCTAGTTGGAGGTAATGTTGCTAACAATCAAATATGGTGGCCAAATGTAGTGGTTAATGATAGTGGTGAGCAAGTACCCCCGAATCCGATGAGCAATAGGTAGGGGCTGAAAAAATTGTGAGAATTGAGAAAAAAAAAAAAAAATTTAATGTTGCTAACAATCAATTTTTGTGGTTCTAAGAATTTAATAAAATTTCAAACTGTCAAAAAATTTCCAACAATAAAAAAATAGATACATAAACACTGGTGCCAAAAAGATTTACATATAATTTTTTTTTTTTTTTTTTTTCACTCGAAAAACACAAGTTGCTTTAACAAGTCTTATCCAATTAGCCAATTAGATAAATAGGGGATAAAGTTTTGATAAAATGGAAATAAAAGTGGGACCTAGAGCTACTTAAAAACCCTAAGGCAGAAGGGAAGGCGTTGTCCACATCATCATCACAAGATTAAGTCCTTGTTTAGGAATAGGTTAATTTAATAATTTTTTGATTATTTTATTTAAAATATGAATTAAAATAAATTAGTATATTTAGGATAATTTTTTAATTTTTTATGAAAAGATGTGTAAAAAATAAAGAGAAAAGAGAATTTTTGATTTTTTAGTATGAATTATTGACTTTTTAACTAATTGAATAACTTTTTAACTTTGGATTAAAAATAAAAATTTCCACACGAAGCCTAAGGAATGCGGTGTGGTTCGGGTGCAAATTAATTTAGGCCAAGTTTGGCATCTTTCAAAAAATTCAAAAAGTCAAAAAGTCACTATCCTATTTAAGTCACATCATCTTATTTAAGTCATATCACCTCTCTAACACATCACTTCAAACCCAACCCAAATCCAACCCATATTTCATAAAAAATCAAAAAATACACTTATTTAATCTTCCCAAACTTAACCTTAGTGCTATTAAAGCAAGACTACCAAATAACAAATCCTCTCACATAACTTATTTTCCTAACTTTTATGATACCGATATATATAGATATTTATGTATTTAAAAATTTTAGCTATATTATTCCCACAGTCTTATATTATTTTGGTACAACTAATTTTATTTTAAACCAACGGGGTTAGCCATTAGGTGGCTTAATTTTCTCTATATTTATTGGGGTTGTTTCTATTTCACTTTTGAGAGTTTTTTTAATTATTTATTTTATTGAATCTTTATATTATGATTGTAATTTATTAGAATATCATATATGAATGAAAAAAAAAAAATTCATATTAAGTTTTGACTATTAGATATATTTCTCAAAAAGCATTTAGTGATTATAATTATCATTGTTAATGTAACAAATTTGGCAAAGTGAAATCCTGTGTCAAATTTGGCTTTGTCAAGTATTAACTCAAGATTTGGTACATCATTAAAGAGAGTTTTTATAATTTTATTAATTTAAAAAAATATTTTTCTTAATGAAAGTTTAGCCAAAAATGACTTTATAGCTCAAGAAGTTTTGACACACTATTGGAGATGTTTGGCAAATTAAGTTAGCACAATTGCATATTCAATGCTTCTCCATAAAGTCTAAACACCAAACTTTTCTCCTTAGAAAAATAAAAATACAACCACTTGAGTTATATTAAAGTTCTAGATCTAACCCATATACTGAGTTTAAAAAAACAGAAAAGAAAAAGAAAGTCATAATAAAATTTCAATACCAAAAGTTTTATTAAAGGAAAAAAATTAGAATCAGTTGAAAGGTTGAATAATTAGAAAGCAAATAATAATTGTTCTTTATACACATGTCTTGTATATATATAATATTTTTTTACTATATTAACTACAATTGTTTATGGAGAAACACTTGTGAATACGAGCTTAAATAAATAATGAAAAATCACTTTTTTATATTTTTTAAATTTTGTAAACATTTTGTCAATTACCAAACGCGTTTGTAGTTTATGTTTTTCTAAAAATAAACAAAAAATAAACAAAAACCAGTTTATAAAATTTTTTGTAAATATAAACTGAAAACGTAAACGTTACCAAACACACTTCTTTATACACATGTCTTGTATATATATAATATTTTTTGACTATATTAACTACAATTGTTTATGGAGAAACACTTGTGAATACAAGCTTAAATAAATAATGAAAAATCACTTTTATCTGTTGGAATTGGAACAATTATAAAAATCCAAAATCACATACTTCATTTACTTAAAATTTTTGTTATCATTATTATTTCTTCTTTTAAAAAGAAGTTTATAATCTTAGGTTATTATCTGCCCATGCATAATAATCTATACAATAGAAATCCTCAGTTACAAACTACTTAAAAAATAAATAAATTTACAAACTAATATGCCTAATATTTTGGGTTTTCCACATATTGTCACTTGTTTTCCATGTGCTTTGTGGAACCAATCCATTTTTGCAAATCAAATTTCTCTGTCATCTGTCTCCTTCCCATTGTTTTAATTTGTCTCCAGCAAAAGCCTGCATTTTACACCAGATTAAAGATTTATTACAATAGATCATTCATCTAATATTAGGGCTGCAAGTTAAACAAGCCTAACTTGAAGAACTCGAGTCTAGCTCAAAAAATTTTAAGACTTGGATTGTATAATTTTAAATTTGTTCAAGGTCTGAACTAAAATTTGTCAGCTTGAATTAAATTTAGACCGGGTTTGGACAGTAATTTTCACAACTTGAAATTCATAGTTAATAAATATAAATTATATATAATAAATATGAAATATTATAAATTATAGATTATTTTATCATGTTTGGATTAAATTATAATGCAAACTAATTTTGTTTGGTACACGACTCAAAACTAATTTTTTAATTATGGTTTGTGTTTACAATTTTTGAGTTTTTTTTTTTTTTTTTTGGTAAAAAAGGCAATACATATGAATTCGTGCAACATGAGCCAAGCTTGAATTTCTTTGAATTAAACTCATGTTCGAATCTGGGCAAAAACAACTCTGAGCCTGGACAGATGCTTAACCCATCTGACTGAACCCGACTGAGTTGCATTGCAACCTAATAGAAGGTGCATCTTTTTGAAGGAAGTTTATGGGAGTAGTTACCTCATTATTCCAATTTGTTCTATTTATAATCCACAGCACAACACAGGCTTCTAAGACTGTTCCAGATATCACTCCCCCCCAAATCCCCTGGATATCAATCATGGCAGCAAACAAATACCTTAACAAATTTATAAACAAACATACCAACCAAATACAATGTTAGATAGACTTTGATTGCATAATTGATCATTGCATAGAAATGCTTGTTTGTGTAATTTAAAATTTTGTTTTCAAAAACAAGTTGTCTAACAATAGCATTAGTCTAACTATTCCAACTATATCAATCAAAATGTTTCAACAGGACAATGAGAGTATACCTTGATACCCATGTTGAACTTAAAACCCATTAGCAGACTTAGAGGAATGCCAAACAAATAGTAGCACCCTAAGTTCACATATGCTATGTAAGCTTGCCAACCTGCTCCAATGGCCACCCCTGCATCAATATCATCACTCAATGATCAGTGGATTGGACTGTGCAGTTTAGCCCGTGAGCGTATCATGTATCCCATTTTAACGATCTGAGTTGTTTCATTTATAGGTCATTCTATGTGAATTATTCGTGAAAAAAATCAGTGGTGATATTATGATAATTGTAGTCAACAATGTTAATAGCTTTGTCTTAAAAAAATGGATAATTTATCGAATTAGTTTGATTTTTTCATGGATCTACAAAATGAATAATTTAGATGATAGAAGTGATAATTGTAATGGGACTCATGGGTTGGGCTGCACAGTCGAGTTCACACTGAAGTGGATTGGAAACATTTCTAATCCAAGAAAATAAAGCATAATTTTACATAAGATTGGGCTTTTCTTCGATCATTGGATGGTCCAATCACCCTTTTTGATATCACAAGTCATTGTCCTGGACGGTCCAGTGAAAGAAGAGAAGCCAAGTGCTTGTAGATATGTAGAATCAACAAATAAAATTAACTATAAGTAGAAGCAACATTAGAGAGTCATAATTAAGAAATACCAGCGAGAGCAAGTTGAACACCGTAAACAACAATAGCAAGTCCTAGCAATGGTGTGAGCTCATATACAAGCTCTTTGACCGCTGCATCGTTTGAGAAGAAGGACGGGTATTCCTTTCCGCCAATGATGAGAATGGGTGCAAGGAAGAGACCTATTAGAAATGAAGTTACTGCGACCGCCACGGCTGAGAATTTTGCAGCTGTCGGGTGTGCTGCCCCAAGTTCATTCGATGCCCTTACGCTGCACATTTCCATGTCAATTGACAAGTTAAATTTTCAGTTTTAAGATTTTTTATTTTTTTTTATTTTTAAGTTGTTTATAAATATTTTGGTAGATTTTTTAACCTAAGATTTTTGAAGGGGTGTTTCTATTCAAACCTTATGGTTGCATTGAATCCAAAGTGTTAAATTCAATGTATAAAGAGAGAAATACAGAGAGAATAATGTATCTATTGATGTGTTGAATGTTGTTGGGTTAGCTCCTTTATATAGAGGAGTTACAAGCTTACAAGCCAAAAGAGAAAACAGAATTATTAAAGCATACTAATTATTACACTAACCTAATTATTAAAGCAACACTTTACATATTATATTCTATATTCTAACAGCCCCCCTCAAACTCAAGGAAGATAGGAACCAACCAACTTGAGTTTGGAGAGAATAACAAAACAGAAAAAGAAAATAAAATAAAATAGGATAGGAGACACTGTATGGTCGTGTCAGACCGTTGGTGAAGACACGGTATGGTCGTGTCGAACCGTTGTAGAAGCTAACCGGAATCAATGTCGAGACAGTTTTGGGGTCATGCCGGACCGTTGTAGGAGCTAACCAGAATCAATGTCGGGACAGTTTACGAGGTCATGCCGGACCGATGTAGAAGCTAACCGGAATCAATGTCGGGACAGTTTATGGGGTCATGCCGGACTGATGTAGAAGCTAACCGGAATCAATGTCGGGACAGTTTATGGGGTCATGTCGGACAGATGTAGAAGCTAACCGGAATCAATGTCGGGACAGTTTATGGGGTCATGTCGGACCGATGTAGCAGACACTGTGTGGTCGGGGCAGACCGTGGGAGCCCAAAAGATATATAAATATATATATCGCACCCTTAAAAGTCGTGCCCAATCTATCAAAAGGCGTGCCCAACAGAAATCGTCGAGCGGCGAGCCATCAAAAGGGGCGCCAGACACGCGGCGAGGCACGTGACCGACAGAGTGTCGTGTCGTCCTCTTCGGCATTGTCTATATAAACCAAAGCGAAGCCTGAGGCTTGGATGCAGAACAAACCAGTTGAAACCTCTTCGTTCTCTGAGAGCTTTTCTCTAAGAGCTGCAAACCCTGAAACACTCTGTAACATCCGAAACACTCAGCAACCCATAACATGGCCTCTTCTTCCCATTCAGCTACCCAGAACATGGCCTCTTCTTCCCGTGGTCTGCTCACTCTCTTTCCAGACCTCAACGAGTCCACAAGAGAGATAACCGGTGCGGTTGCCCTGGAACCTCAACCAAGCGCCCCAAGTTTTGCTCCGTTGAACTTTCCTATGCGGTCGGTGGAGCAAATAATAGCAGTGCAATTGGATATTGAAGCCAATCAGTATACATTGAAGTCATGTGTGGAGACCATGACTACGGTCACAAACTTGTCGCACCGGCTTCAGAGTAGGACAAATGAGGTGCAGCAGTTAAACGCCCAACTGGCTCTGCTCCAGCGCATGTATAAGGATGCGCGAGCAGAGATATGTGTGCTAAAGGCGGAAAACAAGGAACTAGAGCGGAAGGCCACCGTTATGTTCCGATTCGGAGGTCCGCCATATGTTGCAGTGGAGGAGCAAGGGGGAGTGAACGGGCTCGGCGGCGCAGGAAACACAGAGGCAGCACCGTCAAGGGCTAGCACCGTCAAGGACTGTCCAAGACGGAGGCAAGAAGAAGAGACCGGCGGCAGAGTAGAGAAGGGATGTCGGTGTGGGTGGCCGTCTGCAGAAAAGAAAACAAATCTTTTGTTGGTTTTTTTTTTATTTTTTATTTTTTTTTTGTGGTGTGGTGTAAAATGTGGATCGGGGTGAGCCTCGATATGAATAAAATGAGTTTGGTGTGCAGTTTTTTTTGTTTTGTTTTGTTTTGTTTTTTTTTTTTAATTTTTTTTTTGACTCATACCCATGTTCTCCGGATGGAAGGCTAAAAAAAGAGAGAGGTAGTGTGAGAAAATAAAGTATAAAAGAAAATAAAATTGAAGAGAAGTGTGTGAATGTTAAAGTAATAAAAAATAAAAAGGAAATGTGAGATTCAAATTTGTTTGGGCGGGTCCTACCACTAATAGAAAAGTAAGATGATGGGTGTGCAAACCAGTTGGTGGTTCATTTTCTTTTCAAAAGATGGAGTAAAATAAATATTAAAAAAAAAAGGAAAAGAAAGTTGAGTGGGGAACATGAGTGTGTGGAAAGAATGAAAAAGAAAAAGTATGGGTTGGAGAATCTGAGCATCGATCTGTGAAGCCTCCCATCTTTTCATGCTTTGGTGACATAGCACTGGCTATAGGTGAAAATTTTGAGAAGTACTTGATGTATGCCATGCCTATGCTTCAGAGTGCTGCAGAGTTGTCTGCCCACACATCAGGTGCTGATGTTGAGATGACTGAGTACATCAATCTTCTGAGAAATAGGATATTGGAAGCATATTCTGGAATATTTCAAGGCTTTAAAAATTCTCCTAAAACTCAACTGTTGGTCCCTTACGCACCTCATATTCTTCAGTTCGTGGATAGCATATATATGGAGAAAGACATTGATGATGTTGTGATGAAAACTGCCATTGGGGTCCATGATTTGCATTCATGAAGTCTGGTCATCACCTCTCAGACAACTAAACTAATTGAACTTCAAGTTGTCATTAACTCTTGCATCAGCACCATGGGGTCGTGTTTTCCCTTTGTAACAGAGGAAGTGCGCAGTGTTGGCTCATCAGAAATGGGAAATGTCCTTCCTTGAGAAGCTATTATGTATCTGGAGGATTTGGTTGGGAGGTGGGTGTGTACTGATACGCTGAATAGACATAACTTATGCTGCTTGTCCATTGGTCCTTGTTATGGTTCAGCAAGCAGTCATCTTGAGAAAAAGAAACCCTATACCAACCTGGCAATGCCATCTTTCTCCAAGTGATTTAAGCAGTTGAAATGGTTTACTGCAAAGAGCTGGCTTGCTTGTTACAACACTTTAAAACCACTCGACTGCCATTTTCTCTTTCCTACTTTGATAGCTTATTTTTCCTTCCTGTTTTCTTGGATCTTGAATTGGAGCAATGGGATTGCCCACAGAGTCACAGTTTCATGTCTTAGCTGTTGATGATAGCCTCATAGACAGAAAACTCATTGAGAGGCTCCTCAAGACCTCATCATTTCAAGTTACCACAGTGGATTCTGGTAGCAAGGCTTTACAATTTTTGGGTTTGAATGAAGATGAGCAGAGCAACCCAGATCAACCCTCTGTTTCTCCAAACAATCATCAGGGAGTGGAAGTGAATCTGATTATTACAGATTACTGTATGCCTGGAATGACAAGCTATGATTTGCTCAAGAAAATTAAGGAATCTTCATCTCTGAGAAATATACCGGTAGTGATTATGTCATCTGAGAATGTTCCTCATATGATGAAAACCAAACATTTGAATCAGCAACAACAAGAAGATCAAGATCAAGAAGAATAATTTGTGGCAGCGGAGTGAAGGTATGTGTAGAGGTCCGGCGGGCGGCCAAGGCAAGGGTACCGCCCGCCGGTGAAGCAGAATGACTAGGTTCTTAACCTTGCTCTGATACCATGTTAAATTCAATGTATAAAGAGAGAAATACATAGAGAATAATGTATCTATTGATGTGTTGAATGTTGTTGGGTTAGCTCCTTTATATAGAGGAGTTACAAGCTTACAAGCCAAAAGAGAAAACAGAATTATTAAAGCATACTAATTATTATACTAACCTAATTATTAAAGCAACACTTTACATATTATATTCTATATTCTAACACAAAGCCTACCATTGTTGTCCAGCCCAGTATGTTCAAACTGCAAAGAAATTCAAGATTACACAAAACATCATTAAGAACAACGGCAATATTACAAAATTGAAGTACTTGCAATTTCACCAAAGATAACCAAGGTGCGTTGGCAAAATGTGATTTTTCTTTGGACATTTTCACTTTATCGTCGATTTAGTGGACATGGGGCATGACTCAGCATGAAAGTTATTTATACCATATATTAAGTAAACAGAAATTTTTAATCCTAAATTTTGTGGGAGTTTCAATCTCTCAATCTAATTTTTCTTATTTTTTGATTTAAAAAAAAAATCTTAGCATTTATTAACTTCTCCCAACTCTCAAGTCCTACCCTCATAATAACACTTTAATGTATTAAAAACAAACATAAAAAAATTCTTTGAAATTCAATACATATGAATTTCTTGAAAAGTCAAAACACATATGATTATTATCCCTCATAATAATACTTTAATGCATTAAGAACAAACATAAAAAAAAATTCTTGAAAAGTCCAACACATATGATTATTATCAAAATATTAAACTTTAATATAATATAATAAAAAAAAGACATTTAATTCCTTGAAAAATCTAACATATATGATTATTATCAAAATATTAAACTTTAATATAATATAAAAAAAGGAAAAAAAGAAGGCATTTTTTTTTTAAAAAAAAAAGACATTTAAAAATCGCAATTCACATATATAGATAACTGTAAACACAATCCGTGCATAGCACGGGTGATATGTTAGTACTATATATTAAGCAAAAGGGGATTTTTAAATCCCAAGGCCTATGGGAGTTTCAATATCTCAATCTGAATTTTTTAAATTTTTTATTTAAAAAAAAAACTCAGCATTTATTAATTTGGTCAAAATTTCATGATCAGCATTTATTAACTTTTTTCAATCCACATGTCTTTCCACATGCCTGCATTTATTGATTTGGTCAAAAACTCCTGATCAGCATTTAAAATCACCTCATATAAATAATTATAGATACAATCCGTGTATAATTACTGCAGTACCCTTTTCAAATTCTCTCATACACTACGGTAGTGATAAGATTGTTAAATTATTTTTATAAAAAATCTTAAAAAACATTATTTATATATTAAAAAAAATTTAAAATAAATATAAATATTTAAAATTATCCCGTGCATAGCACGGGTAATATGCTAGTTAGATATAAAGACAAAGTGACAAGTTCTAACCAAGTGACCAAAGGACGTTAAAAAATGGGAAATTTAGGGCCGGTTTTGGGGCACAGCCCAGAAAGCAACAGTTTTGGACCCTCAAAAATATCCAAAAAAAGGCTGCAAAACTATATTAACTACTGTACTGACACAAAATAAAATGCCCACATAAATTAGAAAGATAGGCCCAAGTTTATTTGAAGAGGTCCAATCTAAATAGAAAGGCCCAAAATTTTGACGCCTCAATTTATGTTTCAAATATATTTGAAAAATGATTGCAAATATAATAAAATCAAAGCTTTAAGCTGGCAATAAGAACTGAAAAACAGAAGATTTATACCATGTTTGGTTGAGGATTTGAGAAGGGATTTGGAAAGAAAAATGAAAAGGTAGATAAAATGTGAATAAAATATCTATATTTTACCTAATTTTTCACATTTTTTCTTTTTCACTTTCCAAACCCCCCAACCAAACACAACGTTAGGGTTTCAAAGTCCTATTACTTTCTTTCCCTCTCTATTTTTAATTTTTTGATGGAAGTATTCATCTAAATATATATATATATATATTTAAAAAAAAAAACTAATTGAGAAACTACTATATTTCTTAGCTTTTTTTATATTGCAAAATTTTTTTTTTTTGGCTGAACTATGATGAAAGTCTCAATTTTGTAATATAATTTAAAAATGGAGTTTCAAGTTACAAACTCTGTAGTGGAGATGGGTTCTTATTTTTTGCTTAATTAAATATTTATTTGATCATGATTAAATATATATATTTCCTTTATCTATTATAATTACATGGCTTTTATTATTTTATATTTCCTTTAATTGATTATTTGATTTGTAATGATTTTTTATAAACTATAACAAACAGGTAGATTCCCAAAAAATATATTGTTCTGAGCATAAAAAAAGAAAAAAGAAATAAGGAATAAAAGATTAGTTCACTTTTTATTTGGTCCTCTAGCTTATATTTTGATCGTTTTTGTTATTGTAAACTTTGTTACTTATTTAAATAAATTTTAATTACCTTTTTGTTAACACTGTTAAATGCAACAATTTAAAACAAAATTTGATACATAATCTTTTGCTTATAAACTTTTTTTTTAAAAGTATATATAAAAGGTTCCATATTTAGGACTTGTTTTGGTCCTAGAAAAGTCAAAGCCGGGACCTATACAAATAAGCCAAATGTGAAAAAGAGACGCCATATTTGGGTTAAATAGATAGAGTAGAATTAGCGTTAGAAACTAGCATATTTTGTTAGAGTAATGCTAGAGATCTCAAATATTCTGTTAAAAATTTTATCAAATGTCTCACATGGGTGTGGGACCCACACAATGTGGGTCCATGTGGGTCTCACATCCATGTGAGACATTTGGTAAAACTTTTGGTAAAATTTTTGAGACCTTTAACATTTTTGATTTTGTTATACTATTGAACACAATCTTTCATTTTGTATTCATTTTATACGTGAAATATTTCATGAAAAAATTTTGATTCTTAGATTAGATATACAATAAGTTATAAAGTGTAATACAAGAATAGAAATTTGTTCATGATCATTTTCATGAAGCATTTTTCATGATGCCTAGCATTTTTCATAAAATTAATTTATTATTCTTCATTGTTCTATGTTTGGACTTTAAACACGTGACCTATGATGCCCCTTTTAACACCTTGGTTTCTATTGTAATCATGTTTGTAAAGTTGCTGATTTCATTAATATAATTCATTTTTTGATGATTAAAATGAAAAAAAAAAAAAAACAACAAAAGGAAAGAAAAGAAAGAGAGAGAACTCACCATATTGATGATGCAGTCCCGCTACGGACCACTAGAAGACGAGCTCTAAAACGAGCTCTAACCAGGTGGTATGTGAGGCATGAAACTGAAGGTCATTTGCATATTGAGTGCGTGTGTTTCACGCACTGTAAAAAAAAAAAAAAAAAAGATTAAATCCCACGCAAACGTTGATCCATCGAGCTCATGTATATAGAAGAAAAAAAAAATTTCCTGGACATTTGATCTGAGCTTGTCTTCCACCGTTTCGTCGCCCCCACCGTCCGGCGTTTGCCCTCTCCTCCACCGTCCGGCGTCAACCCTCTCCTCCGTCGTCCCTCTCCTCCACCGTTTGGCGTTTGCTGTCTCGTTCGGCATTTGTAGATCTTTCCTCCGCCATTCGTCTCCTCCACCGTCCGACGTCTTCTCCCTCCTCCACCGTCCGACGTCTTTGTCGGAGTTGGAATTCCATCTGGTCAGTTCTATCTCCTGTTTATAAACATGGGAAAAAAAAAAAAAAAACAGCTTTGGTCCAAACATAGCAAGATAGGTTTGGTCCAAACAAAGTTGGAGATAGAAAGATAGATAAGAAAAAAAAAAAAAAAAACCAGAGTTCAGAAATCCCCTGTTTATAAGTTAGATGTTTATAAGTTCAAGATAGATGTTTAAAAAACAATTCAAGAACGATGTTTATAACCATGTCCAAACATAAATCTGAACTCTGTTTTTTTTGGTCCAAACATAAAAAGGGGATATAAACATGTTTTTATATCTGTTTTTTAAACATGGTTATATCTGTTTTTAAATCAGCAAGATAGATAACTTATATCTGTTTGAGTTCAGATATAAATCAGCATAAAAACATGTTCAAATATAAACATCGTTTTGAGTTCAGATATAAAAAACAGGTTAAGCATTTGAGTTCAGATTTATATCTGTTTTTTAAAAATGTTCAAACCTGTTTTTTAAACATGGTTATAAACATCGTTCTTGATATGGTTAAACATTCAACAGATTTTTAAATCTGAACTCAAATGTTTAACACGATGTTTATATCTGGACCAAACCTGTTTTTATAAAAACAGATATAAATCAGCAAGATAGATATAAAAAACAGTTGGACCAAAAAAAACATGTTCAGATTTATGTTCAGATTTATGTTTTTTTTGGTCCAAACATAAATCTGAACTGAAATGTTTGTCCAAACGATGTTTATTCCCCTGTTTAATCTGTTATACTTCAGGTCCAAACATAAATCTGTTAATCAGTTTTGGTCCAAACATTGGTTTATACTTCAGGTCTATTATTCAACTGTTATTAATTTTGGTTTATACTTTAGTTTTGGTCCAAACATTGGTTTATACTTGAAGTCCATAATTCAGCTGTTATACTTCAATTTTGGTTTATACTTCAAGTCCATTATTGAAAGTTTAATCTGTTATTAAAACACAATAATCTGTTATTAATTTTTGAAAATAATCTGTTATTAATTCTTGAATTTACTTTTTGAATGAGCAGAAATGGAGATTGATTCAAATACTGTTGAGAATCCTTTATTAAATGAGAGTGAAGAAGTTGAGGAACCTAAGAGGGGTATGTGTTTCACCTCAAAGCAAGAAGCGTACACATTTTATGCCAAATATGCTAAACATGTTGGGTTTTCTATAGCTTGTAAAACACAAGTTATCGGCGATGATGGGGAATTAAGATACTTTGGGATTGAATGTTCTCGATCGGGGAAGAGAATTAAAAAATCAGAAGTAAACCCTTTAAAGCCATCTCTGTCCACAAAAATTGATTGCAAAGCAAGGGTACGAGCAAGCCTACAAAAGGATGGGAGATTTATGTTAACCACAGTTAACCTTGAACATAATCATGACTTGATCCCCACCGACTCACGCCATTTTCTAATGAATAAGAAAATCCTTAGTCCTGTGAAGAGAAGATTAGAAATTAATGATCAAGCAGGGATTGGGGTGTCTAGGAATTATAACTCAATGGTTGTTGAAGCTGGGGGTTATGAGTCTTTAACATTTGATGAGCGAGATGCAAGGAATTACATTGAGAGAGCTAGAAAATTGAGGCTTGGAGAAGGAGATTCCGATGCACTTCAAAAGTATTTTTTGAGAATGCACGCACAAAATTCGAGTTTCTATTATATGATTGATGTTGATATTGACTTTCGCATAAGAAACTTGTTTTGGGCGGATGCAATGAGTCGGGCGGCTTATGAAGAATTTGGAGATGTTGTTTCATTTGACACAACTTACCTCACTAATAAATATGATATGCCATTTGCTCCGTTTGTAGGAGTTAACCACCATGGACAGTCGATTTTGCTTGGTTGTGGTCTATTATCTAGTGAAGACACTGATACATTTGTTTGGCTATTCAAATCATGGTTAAATTGCATGTCAGATCATCCTCCAAAAGCTATAATAACGGATCAGTGCAAAGCTATGCAAAAGGCTATAGAAATAGTCTTCCCCAATACTCGACATCGATGGTGTTTATGGCATATCATGAAGAAGATTCCAGAGAAGTTGAAAGGGTATTCCCAATATGAATCCATGAAGATGGATTTGCAAAATGCAGTTTATGACACTTTCACAAAAGATGAATTTGAGATGAAATGGAAAGAGATGATTGCAAAATTCAATCTTTATGAGAATCAATGGTTGGGGGTGTTATATGATGAGCGACATCGATGGGTTCCTGTCTATGTCAAAGATATTTTTTGGGCTGGCATGTCAACGACACAACGAAGTGAGAGCATGAATGCCTTTTTTGATGGATATCTTGACAAATAGACAAATGCTCTGACACATATATCTTACTCAAGTAAAGAAGGTACAATCTATACAGAAGTAAGAGCTTCTTTAAAATATGTGGAACAGAATCCAACCAAGTCCAAAAAAAGACTTGAAGAGGATAGCAGCATTGTTGTCTTGCATCATTCATGACAAATAGTCTTTATTCCTCAATTCAATAGGCCTGGATAGGCACTATGCAAGTCTTCTACAATTGGCCCAACTAAGCTGTGTCTAGCTTTAGTAACTGTTCTAATTATGGCATTCTAAATATTAACTAGTAGAAAATAGTAAAACCAATCATCGAACCAAGCCAACTTGGTTCTCTCTATAATCTCTCCTCTTTGTCTCCTTCACTTCCACTCTTCCTCAGCTACTACACATAATGAATAGTCAGTGATCTTGCATTTCCAGCAATCACAAATCACAAATATAATATAATTTTGTAGTTATTCTTTATTGAATTATATATGTTTGGCTAAGCATGATTAGAAATTTACAACTACACAGATGCTCTATAGAATCTTGTTTTCTTTGGGACATTTGACTTGTTTGTTATAATTTTCATCATAATCATATTCCTTCATTTTGTAAGGAATCAAAGACTTTAGAAACTTATTAAAATGGTTACCTAAACATAGGTATGTGTTCAAGATTTTTTTTTTAACAGTTTGGCAAATGGGTTTTCTTTATTTTCTCTGTTTTTTAGAACAAAAATCAGTTTTCAATAACAATACCCAAGTTGACGGTGTTTGGCAGACTTTTAAAAACAATTTTTTCGTCTCGGAGTTGCGAATTAACAACAAAAATGCACGCTTAGTTTAGTCACCATAGAATGATAGATTGGGTATGGATCTAGCTTTGACATTATTGCACCAAGTCCCTTTGATTCTAACCCACTACTTCAAGATTGGTAAACAAGAGTTTGGCTCATTCTAAGAACTGCTTACAAAATTGAATTTAAATATAACAAGTACGAAAGGCGACAATGTAAAAGTAAAATTAAGGAGCGTAGTTTTTGTTGGAAATTTGAACTCCTGAACATAGGTGGAAGAAAACACAAAGTCCAAAAAAAAAACGGCTGACAATAAAGGGGCACCATAGGTGGAAGAAGAGGCCTTAAGCAGATGCAAGAGACTCAATATAGTGTTTTTTTTTGGATCAAGTTTAATTACTGAAAGTTGTGTAATGTGTTTGTTATGGAGAATTGTGATTGAAAAAAAAAATGATTTGAAAACTAAAATTTTATAGAGAAAAAAACCCACTAAAATGATGATGTAAAAACTTGATTTTATACAAAATTTTCATATTAATATTTTTGACAAGAATGATATGTTATTATGATAATAGCATTTTCAAAACTACATAGCATAATGATTTTGTTTTTGTTCTAAAGCAATAGAATCAAATTTTCAATATATTTTTGCACTTTAAAACTACAATGATCATGGTTTTGTCCTAAAATGAAAGCTCCATACAAAAACACATTGTTTTGTGTGAAAGTTCTACTTATGTAGTATTATCTTTTGAAATAATAAGAAATTTTGATGGACTTTTTAATTTAAAATGGATGAATACAAATTTAACACCATATCATTTTGTATAATTTTTGTGTTTTTAATTTATACATCATTACTATAAAAAAAATACATGCATAACAATTGATCACAAAATTAATCAAGGTCCTATGACATAATGTGAAACTCACCCTTTTTAAATATTATATGATTAAATTGTGTGAGTTGATTTTGATTAGGTTTTTGTTTGATGAGTATTGTAGGAAGTGGAGGTTGTGGCTGTTCATAAATCACTAAATCAGTTTTCAATTCAAACAACCATGATCATAATAATATCCAAAAAAAAAACAATATTGAGTCACTGTTCTTTTTCATTGAAGCATTCAAGAAAAATTAAAATTAAAGTTAACATTATTTTTTTTTCTGTACAAAATCACTCCAAAACCAGTCCAAAATCTGTCCAAAATCAAAATCAAATTCGTCCTAAACAGATGAAATCAAAGTGAAAGACACAAATCAGGGCATATAGATATAGATATATACATAGATATAAATCAGGGCATGAACTAAAAGTCAAAAATCTCAACAAATCAGGGCGTATAGATATAGATATATAAATATATATATATAGAGAGAGAGAGAGAGAGGGAGAGAGAGCTGACCTGTGCAAACAGATCTGTGAAGACGGAGAGAGACTCGGTCGTCGTCGGTCGTCTTCAGAAGCTGCGCTTGTCGTTCTCGTGAGAAGCTGCGCTCGTCGGGGTTGTAGAAGCTGCATTCGTCGGGAGTTCGTCGACAAAGAGGCACAGCAGAAAAGAGAAGAGAATGAAGAATAGAGAGAGAGAGTTTTCAGATGTTTTGTGCAAATAAATTTGAAATTTGAAATGAATAAGAAAGAGGGAGAAACGGGCGAGTTTACCTCAGCTTTCCACGTTGGCCGCCACGTCATTAGTGCCGATTTAGTGATCACGTTTTAGAGGTCGGAAGCATTTTCGATTGACGATGCATCCACTGAAACTTCAGTATCCTTTAAATACCCAGCAAAGAGAGTAAGCGACATTGTATACCACATTTCTAAGCTGCAAAATTTCTTCAGACATCAAAGTCAAAGTTCATGAAAAATCAAATTTTTTATCTAATTTTCTGTACGTATTTTTGTAAAAAATCAAACCAACTAAAATAATTAATTTCTAAAATAATAATAGAAATTCAACTGACTTTCCCATTACTGAAGAATTGAGTATGTAGTTATTGTAGTTCCTATTATAGTTACTAGGTCTCGTTTGGGAATAAACTTTTTTAGCAACTCTTTAGTTTTTTAGCTAAAATGTGATATAAAAAAATTAGTATGTTTTGGATGACTTTTTGACTTTTTACGAAAAGATGTACATAAAGTAGAGAGAAAAGAGAATCTTTGACTTTTTGGTATGAGTTGTTGGCTTTATGATTTTTTTAGTACCTTTTTGACTTTTTGAATTTTTGGCTAAAAATGACAGTTGCCAAACATTGTTATAGTGTTGTTGTTTTCTTTATTTTTGTAATGCATTGTGTTAAAACCTATATTTGATCTTCTATAATCTCAAATTAAGTTCCTTTTTGATTAAAACAAGTTGGTTTATATGTTACTTCTTTATAATAATTACCAAAAAAAAAAAAAAAAAGGAAATCATTTTAGATTTGTGTAAAGATGAATTTACCTTCAATAGTTTGAGAAATTTCACCATGTCCTTTTGATTACGTTAATAAGGACTCGACAATAATCTCAAGGGGTTTGGCTTGATAGAAGAGAGGCAACCAAAAGGCTTATCATTCAAGAAGTTGTAGTGTCGAATCTTATAAAAGCCAAATATCTCGAACCTTGAGACTACTGGAGATTTATCTAGTCGTTAATTTTTAGACTCCAAAATTAATCGAAGTATGTATAAACTGATTCAAATACTCGGTAATATTGCAAGGATGATAAGTTAATTTATAAAACACTTTCAAACTTTCTTCATAAAAGAAAAGTAAACTGTTTTAATAAAATATAAAATGCATGAGCTTTTTTAAATTAAAAAAAAAATAGAAATAAAAAACTACTAAAAAACAATTGCCAAAGTTCACCTTAATTAATTAGGGCATTTGACCTAATAGTTGTATAATACTTTTGTGGTGTAAGGTCACAAGTTCAACTCCGATGTAAAGGAGTTTGATATCTTTTGCAGTGGTGGTTTATTTCTCTCCCCATATTGGTTGTTGAGATTAGGCTTGGGCTTGGGCTTGGTCTTGGGTTTAGTGTGTATATATATATATTGAACTAGAAAAAAAGACGTTTTGTAAAAATATCATAGCATCTGTAGATCCTGATTTGACAAACCAAGAATGAACCAACCCCCAAGAGGCAAAGTTACAATCAGAGCACAACATGATCAGCTTCAACCAATTAAGAAACGCTAGTTGTCTCCATAAGGAGTCGAGCCTTGCTCACCTGTGCGGAAAGAAGGCACATTTTCACGTTGCTACCACCCCTAGTGGTGGTTTAATATATTATTTGTTAAATTTTGTTAACTTTCTAATTATTGTGAACTAATCGTTAAATGTGGATTATATAATTAATCTCAATCCAACGTTGGTTGTCACGTGACACTTTATTATATTACCATCATTATGTATTCACATGTATATGTTTAGCTAGTGATTTTCAAGGCCGAAATTTAAGCGAAATTGATTGACATTTACGATTTGAGTTAGACAGTGTGATGAATTATGATACTACTCTATTCATTTCTGTAAGTTAACAATGTAAATAGAGAATTGTATATTGTATTATTGATTGATATGTTAGACAGTGTGATGAATTATGATACTACTCTATTCATTTCAAAATCGATTTTTAATTGAATTAAATTGAGTTTTTAAATCATTTTTTTTATGTAATAACTTAGAGATTACAAATTCACTATAACATATAAGAATTTTAGAAACCAAATTTTTTGGTCTTTAAAAATAAAAATTTTGTTTCAAAAGGCATTTAAGGACTAATTTTCATAATCATGAGGATAGTCGTTAAAAGATCATTCTGAAAAGTCAAAAATAAAGCTTTTAGCAACAAAATTTTGAAAATGTCACTAATAAATAGACTTTTAGGGACAATAATTTGGTCTCAAAATGGTTTATTTTTTGAGACAAAAAATTTGATCCCAAAAGGATAATAATTTATTACTAATGTCTAATTTTTATTGTTAAAAATATAATAACGATATTTTTATTAATTAAATTATTTGATCCCTAAAAAATAATTTTATTCTTAAATTTTGATTTCTAAAACTTTATTTTTTTTTTAGTAACTGTTCACATGTGAATGCTTTGTTCTATGATAGTAAACAGATGGCTTCTAGCTTTAATTGATGTAGTATTTTGTGGGTCACTCAAAGCCTGTCTATATTGGATTTGTCGATCCTACTAGTAGTGTCAATGAAAAATTATTACAATTTTTTGTGATTTTCTCTTTTGATAGATGTGCTAGCTTGCGTGTTAGTGTCATATATTAACTTGTTAATTATTCGTAGAGAGTGGGTTAGCAGAGAAGAGAGAGAAGGGAGAACCACCAGGTCACGAAAAAGTGTATGTGAGGGAGAAAATATGAATGGAAGGTTGTGACAGTCCAAGCACGTGTGACACTCCACATTGTTACTATTATGAGGGTGTTAAATGTCAAAATTAGGTGAGGAAAACTAGGGATAGTGTCACCCACTTCAAATCAAACCTTTCACAGTTGAATTAGATCACTTTATGTTTTCTAAATGATATTTGTTAGATCATATCTAAAATAATAATAATAAATTCATATTTATAGTGAGTATTCATGTAAGAAGTTTTATGAAAAAATTTGAAAGGAAAATTAATATTTGTAAGTTGTAAGTCATGTAATTTGTCTCTTATATTGATTTAGTGTCTGTAATTTCAATTATATTAATTTTTTTATTAATGTTTTATATTTTGCCAAAATAATTTAGTTAATAACTCAGTAAAGAAATTAAACATAAATAAAAGGTAAAATGATCAATTTAAAAGAGAATGAACCATCTTAAATAATGAGAGTGAGTGAACTATTTTGTTATTGTTGATTTTAATATAAATTTTTAAAAGGTGTTATCAATTGAAAAGAAAAAATAATATAAAGTAAAAAATTCAAGTGTGAACTTGATGCAAATAAAATTATAATAACCAAATTGATGAACATTTATTTAGTGCCTCCAATGACACTTAGAGCATCTCTATCCAAACTTTTAAAATTTGGTGTCACATTTTTTTGAAAGTTTAGGTGACAAATTGACATATGTCAATTTGATATAGAAAATCTTCCCTCGAGTTCGTGTCAAATGTGAACTCAACATTTGACATATTAGGTGGATTTCATTTTTCATGTCAAAATTGAGATGTTGTGCCACATAGAATTTGATATTTCGGTTGAAGTTGCTCTTATGTGGTAGAGTTTGCAAATTTTTATGAATTGATACCAGAGATAAATTAAAGATAATGAGAATAATTTTCCCAAAAGATTAATATAAAAAAATTAATCATTCTAAAAATGCTTTTGATCCATCATTTTAAAAAATTTCTTAATTCAAAATTCACAACAATAAACAAAGAAAAACTCACGCAAGCATTACGGCAGAAGCAACAGACAGCTTAAGAAATCTCCAAAGACTGTAGAAAGCCAACCATGAAAACCCATTCCAAGCACCACCACAAACCCCACATAGAACATACACCAACTGAGCCACCACAATGAACCACCATGATGAGTTCAGCACCACCGCTGCCCCCGCCAGGCCCCACCCCAACTTCATCATCAAAACCCAACTGAAAAAAGCATGCAAAACCAACACCAACCCCGCTATCACCGCCATCGCCGTGAACTTTCCCTGTGCCTGAAGAAACTTCGCGAGCGGGTAGTTCATGGTGTAGGCGAAGAGCTGTGGAATCATCCACAGCCCGAATTTGCCTGCTTCCTCGGATATTTGGTCGGTTTGGCCGATGATTTTTAAAATGTGTGTTGCGAAGATGTAAACAAATACTAACATGAGAGCAGTGGTGTTGAGGATGAGCCACGACCTTTGCATGTAGATGTTAAAATAACTGATGTATTATTATTAATTGATGTAGATGTTGATATATTCTGTATATTACAAGTCCTATATATAGAGGAGAAGATGGCAGTGGAGTGTGTGATAGTGGAGGTGGATGGTAGTGGAGTGTGTGATAGTGGAGGTGGATGTTATGGAGAAATTCTAATAGCCCCCCGCAAACTCAAGGAGGATAGAAACTAACCAACTTGAGTTTGGAGAGAGGAACAAAACAAGAAAATACATAAAAATAAATAAAAAAAAAAAAAAATAGGAGACACTGTATGGTCGTGTCAGACCGTTGGTGAAGATACTGAAAGGTGGTGCCATAACGTGGTAGAGGACACTGTATGGTAGTGTCATAACGTTGTAGAGGACACTGTATGGTTGTGGCAGACCGCTGTAGCAGATAAAGTCTGGACAGTTGACGAGGTCACACTGGACCGATGGAGAAGCTAACCGGAATCAATGTCGGGACAGTTTACAGAGTCTTGTCGGACCCTTAAAAAGTCGCACCCTCAAAAGGTGTGCCCAATCTTTCAAAAGGCGTG